TTCCAGCCGGGCCCTTTACTGCAGCACAGTCTTCAGAGACAGACTTAATGGCAGCTGTCACTCCATGATGTTAAAACTGCACTACTTCTGGCTAAGATCTTTAAAAATGGGTGCCTAAAGTTAAAGTCCTAAGCAGGGCTGGCTCTGGCTTTTGGGCCGCCCCAAGAAAAAAAAAAAAAAAAAACCTGCGGCGCGGCTGGAGCGTGGGTGCAGGGGGACCGGCTGGGGGAGGAGGAGGGAGTGGGTGGGAGAGAGAGAGAAGGGGGCGGCCACGGCTACAGCAGGGGCGCTGCCACGCGGCCCCTCCCGCTGCGCCGCCTCCTGCCGCGAGGGCTCTGGTCGGCGGGGAGGGAAGGAAGAGGACTGCCCTGCAGGGTGCTCTGGTTCTCCACGCCGCTGCCTCCTACAGGGCGGCCGGAGTGGAACAAAACCAAACAAAACAAAACAAAAAAGCGGCCGTGCCACCCTAGGATTGGGCAGAATGCCGCCTCGAACAATCTGCCGCCCCAAGCACCAGCTTGCTCAGCTGGTGCCTGGAGCTGGCCCTGGTCCTAAGGGCCTGAACCTCATTTACAGTAAAGCCCCTCTATAATGCCAAAGCAGTATAAAAGAGGTCTGAAAGTCAGGATATATTCCAGTGTAAATAATAGGGCTGTCAAGCAATTAAAAAAATTAAGTGCAATTAAATAACAATAGAATACCATTTATTTAAATATCTTTCGATGTTTTCTACATTTTCAAATATATTGATTTCAATTACAACACAGAATACAAACTACAGTGCTTACTTTATTTTTTATTACAAATATTTTCACAGTAAAAAACAAAATAAATAGTATTTTTCAATTCATCTAATACAAGTACTGTAGTGCAATCTCTTTATCGTGAAAGTTGAACTTACAAATGTAGAATTATATACAAAAAAACCTGCATTCAAAAATAAAACAATGTAAAACTTTAGAGCCTACAAGTCCACTCAATCCTACTTCAGCCAATCGCTCAGACAAACAAGGTTGATTACAATTTGCAGGACATAATGTTGCCCACTTCTTGTTTACAATGTCACCTAAAAGTGAGAACAGGAGTTCGCATGGCACTGATGTAGCCAACGTCACAAGATATTTATATGCCAGATGTGCTAAAGATTCATATGTCCCTTCCTGCTTCAACCACTATTTCAGAGGACATGCCTCCATGTTGATGATTGGTTTTGCCCGATAACGATCCAAAGCCAAGCGGACTGACGTATGTTCATTGTCATCATCTGAGTCAGATGCCACCAGCAGGTTGATTTTCTTTTTTTGATTGTTTGGGTTCTGTAGTTTCCGTATCTGAGTGTTGCTCTTTTAGGACTTCTGAAAGCATGCCCCCACCCTGTTTCGATCAGTTTTTGGATGGCACGTCAGATTCTTAAACCTTGGGTTGAGTGCTGTAGCTGTTTTTAGAAATCTCACATTGGTACCTTCTTTGCGTTTTGTCAGATCTGCTGTGAAAGTGTTCTTAAAATGAACAACATGTGCTGGGTGATCATCCAAAACTGCTATAACATGAAATATATGGCAGAATGCGGGTAAAACAGAGCAGAGACATACAGTTCTCCCCCAAGGAGAGAAATTTGATTAATGCACTATTTTTTTAACGAGCATCATCAGCATGGAAGCATGTCCTCTGGAATGGTGGCCAAAGCATGAAGGGGCATACAAACATTTAGCATATCTGGCATGTAAATACCTTGTAACTCCAGCTACAAAAGTGCCACGCAAACGCCTGTTCTCACTTTCAGGTGACATTGTAAATAAGCAGCAGGCAGCAGCAGTATCTCCCATAAATGTAAACAAACTGTTTGTCTTAGCGATTGGCTGAACAAGAAGTAGGACTGAGTGGACTTGTAGGCTCTGAAGTTTTACATTGTTTTGTTTTTGAGTGCAGTTATGTAATAAAAAAAATCTACATTTGTAAGTTACACTTTCAGGATAAAGAGATTGCACTACAGTACTTGTATGAGGTGAATTGAAAAAATACTATTTCTTTTGTTTATCATTTTTACAGTGCAAATATTTGTAATAAAAATAATATAAAGTGAGCACTGTACACTTTGTGTTCTGTGTTGTAATATAAATCAATATATTTGAAAATGTAGAAAAACATCCACAAATATTTAATAAATTTCAGTTGGTATTCTATTGTTTAACATTGCAATTAATTGCTGTCAAGGCTGTATCCCCACTTTGAACTTTAGGGTTCAAATGTAGGGGCCTGCATGAAAACTTCTAAGCTTATCTACCAGCTTAGCTTTGGTCCGCTGCCACCATCACAAGAATTCCCTCCCTGGGAAGCCTTGAGAAACCTTTCACCAATTCCCTGGTGAACACAGATCCAAACCCCCTTGGATCTTAAAACAAGGAGAAATTAACCATCCCCCCTCCTTCCTCCCACCCTCCTTTCACCAACTTCTGGTGAATACAGATCCAAACCCCCTTGGATCTTAAAACAAGGAGAAATCAATCTGGTTCTTAAAAAAGAAGGCTTTTAATTAAAGAAAAAGGTAAAAATCATCTCTGTAAAATCAGTATGGAGAATAACTTTACAGGGTAATCAAACTTAAAGAGCTCAGAGGACCCCCCTCTGTCTTAGGTTCAAAGTACAGCAAACAAAGATACACACTCTGGTAAAAAGGTACATTTACAAGTTGAGAAAACAAAGTAAATCTAAGACGCCTTGCTGTCTTTTTACTTACTAGTTTGAAATAGGAGAGACTTGTTTAGAAAGATGGGGAGAACCTGGATTGATGTCTGGTCCCTCTCAGTCCCAAGAGCGAACCACCCCTTAAAACAAAGAGCACACACAAAAGCCTTTCCCCCCCAAGATTTGAAAGTATCTTGCCCCCTTATTGGTCCTTCGGGTCAGGTGTCAGCCAGGTTACCCGAGCTTCTTAACCCTTTACAGGTAAAAGGATTTGGAGTCTCTGTACACAGAGAGCTGTTACCCTTCCCTTTATAGTTATGACAATTGCGATTAATTTTTTTGAGTTAATTGCGTGAGTTAACTGCGACTAATTGACAGCCCTAGTAAATAAGAATTGTAGCCCAAGTCTATACTTAGACACCTGAGTAAATGGCCATATTGTTTCCAAGAATGTTGAGCACTCTGCTGTTTTTTTTAGGTGTCTGAAGGAAGATTTTAGTCTAATTTTAGGCACTCATTTTTATAAATCTTAGCCTATAAATTAAAATGACAGGAATTTCTGGCTCTTGTTGGATGATGCTCAGGGTGTAGTGAACTGGAACAAGAATTTCTTTCCTGACAGCATGGCACAATTTGATACCGGTTCTGTATGGGTAGGATCCCATCTAACTCCTTAGGGTAGTGAAGAGCGAATATGCTGGTTTAAAGACATTGACTTTCATCACCTATTGATCTACTGGCACCTGTTGCTCAAGCAGCAACTGTTACACTTTTAGAAAGTCAAACCAGGTACATGCATTTTTTCTCTACACATGAAGAGGCCTCATTTGTGCGCATGCCACAACTGTACAATGAGAAGCATGTCTAATCCAAGTAGCTTCCTTATGAAGAATGCATAGCTTGTTTAATCATTTGGACAAATCTTTTGTTATACATTGTTGTAGCTGGGTGTAGTATGCAGCTGACTTGATCGGGCAACTTCAGGAGGTTCACTGTTAATAGCTATCCTGATGGATCAGGCCTCCTAAAATGCTTCCCTCTTGAGACCCTTGTTCTTTTTACTGTCCAAATACTCATGACTCTCTGTGTAGGATTTTATACACCAACCATCAAAATGCTGAGCCAAATTCAGCAAAGCTGGCTCAGAAGAAGAAAGTTAGAGGTGGGGAAGGAGAGGAGTGGCCAGGAAAGACTGCAGCAGTTGTTTTGGAATGTGGGGTGAGGTGCTCATCTGCCCATCCATCCATTGCAGAAAACGTAATGGGTGAAATCCTGAACCTGCTGAATTCAGCTACAAAACTTCCATTGACTTCAGTGGGGCCAGGATTCCACCCGAAAGGTCATCTCCATCTCTAGATTCTGTGATTAAATAGCCCCATCAATATAGATCCTTATCATGAAGTTTGTGTTTCTAAGTCTTTCATGAGCCCTTAGCGAGGACCCGACTTTAACAAGCTGTAATCCTGCTTGTTCAGTAGATTGCGACACTAACTTCTCCACAAAACAAGGCCTTCTTTTAATATGGAGTAAATTTTGAACTCTTAGTCATATCTTTTCTTAGTGTGCCCCTTTTATGCCTAAGTCTTCCAGGCTGCAATGCTCCCAAAGTGGAAAGAGATTTGGGAGCAAAACTTACTAATCAGTATTCTTTATAGTTGATCATTTCGCTCTTTCCCCCATTGCTTATAATTCTGTTACATGCACAGTCACACATGACAGAAGAAATCCAGTGCCCAAAACTTACTACAAAGAAATATCACCTAGTATAGAAGGTACTATTTATTCAGTGTTGCAGAATTCATCTTGAAAAACTTGAGCGTGCTCCTCAATTGGGAGAATGGTAATTTTTAAAGAAGATTTTAATGTGCCTTTCAGTATTTGTTCCTACAGTGACTTGGGGTCCGGTTTTCAAACCTGGGTGCCTAAAGCTATATGCATAGGCCAAGGTCCTTTGAAAGTGGTCACTGACTTTGCTGAGTACCCACCCTCTGTTAACTAAGCTCCCAATACTTCTGTTAGTCTTAAAGGTGCCACAGGACCCTCTGTTGCTTTCTAAGCCCCTTAAGGTGCTGCAAGTTGGGGCCCCAAAATCACTGCTCACTCCTGAAAATCTTGACCATAAGACTTAGAGATGGACTTCTCAAAAGTGCTTAGCCTTGGCCTAACTCTCCTCCCATTGACTTCAGAGGCGGAAGGGTTTGCTCTGTGCAAAGTGATTTTGAAAATCCCTAGTCTGATGACATGCAGAATGATTCAGTATTAACATTCCACGTTTTAAGTGAAAGACTAACCCTGTTTTTGTGTTGACTCTACAGGCAGAAGCGTTTGTTTGGGTTAACGATGTATTGGCTCATTCCCAGAGTGTTGCCAAGGCCAGATATGAATTTCTGTTTGGTGGGTCAGAAACACAGAAACCTTCAGAAACAGGTAAGTGCTTTTTCCACGGCTTGAAGGACATACAGAGCCTGATTCTCAGTTACATTAAAGCTACCTTGCAGTGTACTGATGTAAAGGTGCTTAAAAGTGCATGTTGACCTAATTTACAGTGTAAAGGAGCCTTGCTCTAAATGAGAATTGGACCCCTTGTGTCAGCACTGATGTGACTGCAATCCTGTAGCATGTAGCATTGCCTTCCTGTCTGTTTAAATGGGGACACTATCACGTGACTGTAAAAGTTGTGTGCCAGACACGTTCAGTATTTCTCCAGGAGTCTGTACAGTAAGTCTCACAGCTCCTATTTCTGCCAGCTGTACAATGTGAGTAATTTTAACCACACTTTCTAACACTGTATGAATCAAATCATTGCCAATTCTTTTGATATTCACTGCATGTACACTTAAAGTGTTTCTGGATGATTCTATATCTGTAGCTACAATTACCTAAGATTTAATTTAGATATTCTAGGCTAAACACTCAAGCTAAACTTTTTTCTCTGTTTGTATTGGAAAAACTCCACTCACCATTTTATTTTCTGGATGCAGCAGCAAGAAGTAATATCTAGGGGTCAGCCTCCAGTTCGGTAGTAAGGACATTCGCCTCCTCCCCCAGCTAGCCCTGGGCCAAGCAGAGTAAAGAACTATAGTGGAGATGCCCATTTCTCTCCGTTCTTGTTTGGATTACTACAAATCCTTGCCTTTATTTCAGGAGTGAGAGGCAGTCTAGTCTGAGGAGATGCTACTCCTTGCATCTTGGTAAGTTTAAACCTTCCAGATCATGGGCTGTCGTTAGGATGCCATTTTTAGTTAAAAGGAGGAGTCTTTTATCACCAAAATTGTGCAAGAATCTGTTCAGAAGCAGATTTTGAAGTGGGCAGAAAAACTAAATGAACAGAATTCAAGTCCAGACGATGAGCAATTTCTCCAAGGCTCTTGCTGAATTTTATCTTTGTTTTTATCAGGAAATCCAACACGCCTAATTTTTTAACTTGTTTATTTAGGAAATGTAAACAACTTTACAGATCATCACCAAACATGTTACCAAAGTACAACATGATTCATTATGAACTAATCTCTTGTTTAGAGTATCATTAGGCAACAGCATAGTTGTCATCCATGTTCAGTGTTTCTGGGAACATCTTAAACCTGAGAATTCTGTCTTTACTAACTAACAAACCAAAGCAAGTCCTCATATGTGCTACCATTCAGAGAAATTTGTCAAATGCAATGGCTTTTGTGGGCAAATGTATTGAATAAATACTTACTACCTACCTACCTATCTATTAGTCCTCTGTCTGCTGGGCTGTGTACATAACGTCAACAACTTCCAGTATTTCTCAGAGCCATTCCTCACCCCCGCCAACCCTGTTACCAGTGAGAAATTACCAATAGTCTAGGAGCTATTAATAAATGAAAGATTTGTTCTTGGTAATCTGCTTAAGGGCTCCCTAGAGGGAGTGGTTTAAAAGGAATATGTGGTAATAAATGTTCAACAATTGTAATACTTGGTTACAATTGCACCCTAATACTATTTAATAATTGAACATGTCCACCATATAGGCACTTCCCCCCCCCATAATTTCATCAATATCTTTCCCCACTCTGTGTAGTATATCTGTATTTTAACCTTTCTGGTTTAAGGTACCATTCAAACAGTAGCTCAGAGAAACTCTTATTTTAGTACAAATTGGGGTTGCCCGTCCACACCTCAGTCCAAAACCAAAACCCACTCCTCTGGAGGAAAGAATACCCAAATCTATTCCCTCTTATGGACTCATTCTTCTTAGCAAAGTTGTTTGCAAAAGCCAAGTATAAACTAGTTAATTCTTTGTTTCCTTTTAGTCCAGAAGCCCTCTCTCCTATTCAGTTTTACTGCCTTTCTTATAAAACAAATTCTCTAAAAATGTTGCGAGACCACACTGTCTGACCTGAAGGTACTGGTACTGTGGGAAAGTGGACCAGCTGTGTTAAGAAAAGATGCCAGTAAACAATTGGCTAATTTCATGTATTCCATGGCTCTCCCAATCTTTATCCTGGGAGAAAAATGGACCAGAGTGCTCCTTAGTTGAAGAGTGGTGTGTGTGTGTGTGTGTGTGTGTGTGAGACGGATGGAAAATAATTTCATCTTTAGCTCTCTCTGTCTCAAACACAGCCTTGCCAAAGCATGGGTATGAACTTACAGAGGCCACTGACCAACTGGGAAGGCAGCATTTGTCTGGCATTTCTGTTTAACCAAGCACCACTTTTGGGGTCAGTTGGGAAGAGGCTCTGGGCCTGGAAGATCCTCTCCTCTACCTTATTGAAAGCCTTTTAAAAATCACAGGACAAACTTTCATGCTGTTTCTTCAGTTTTTGAAAATGTGGTGTAAGGGAGTGGACTCACCCCTGCGGCGCCTCCTGCTGGTCGTCCATGGGAATTAGCTCTGCCAGCCTTGGAGCGCCCTCTGCAGGCCGGTGATCCGCCTTACCGCTGGCCCCCGTGTCCCTCCCAGGACCCCAGTGTCCCTTTCTCCGGGTTGCTGCCCCCCTTGCAGTACCCCCACATTCTGGGTCTCCCCTCCCACTAGCCCCACCTTGCCTCAGTGTAAGGCTACTGCCAGTCACCATCTAGCCCCACTCCCTGGGGCAGACTGCAGTATACGCCACTCATCACTGGCAAGGTTGGGTTTGGACCTGCTGCCTTTGCCTACCCCTGGGCTGCCCTCTGCAACCCCCAGTACCTGTTGGTCTAATGCTAGGCTGCAGCCTGGGGCTTTCCAGGCTGGAGCTCCCCAGCTCTTCTGCCGCTCCCCAGCCCTGCTCCACTCAGGTACCCTGCCTCTAGCTCCCTGCAGCCAGGCCCATCTCCCTCTACAGGCAGAGGGAGACTCTGGTGCCCTGTTAGCTGGGGTGCTGCCCCCTAGCAGTAACCCCTTTCTCTCAGGGTCTCCCCTCCCAGGCAGGAGCGGGTGTCCACCCTGCTACAGTGGACATGCCAGACTAGTATGATTTTACACACAAGCAAGGGTTGATGTACTAAGAAAGGGGGGGAAAAGCAGATGTTATTAAAGTAAACGAAGACAGCTTCTTAGCCATATGCTGCTAATAACTTTCAGAAACAAAGCCAAACGTAGTTTGACTTGAGATGGGCATTCCATTCGTTCGTCTTTTGCTTGTCTTGTTAAAATGTGGGGAAATATTTGTGTTGCTGTACAGCTCAATCACTTCAGCACCCAATTACAGATCGGGTCCCCCAGGAACTTCACAGAATACATGTGAAGTCTCCCAACCACTCCAAGTCTGTTTTTTTGTTGGGTGGTAAAAAGCAGCTCCTTATTCCTAAGCCAATCAGAAAAGAGCGATTGCCCTGAAAAGGAGGGAGGGGTTGAGGTGATTAGCTGTGAGAAAGAAGTGGTTTGTCCAGAAGTTTAACAAAATGGCGAATTCTGTTTAGAGAAATTGACAGTAAGTGGAATAAGCTTCAGCATGTTTTGCCACAACTATGAAAATGGGCACTAGTTGAAGGCCAGAAGGATAAAGCAGATTGTAGGCAAATGGTATCTTACCCAGTCCTGTTGAAGCACTTATAAAGTTGTCAGGAAAAAAACAAAATGTCTCTTCCTTGTCTTGTTTAAAGCTAATAAAGTCTAAGTCTTATCAGAGGGCTCTTTCCAAGAGGCTTTAAAAACACAACTTGAAAAAACTTCACCAGAGCTCAATACCTGCCCAAGGTTGTTCCCTCTTCCCACGTGTATTTCACAGAGCAGGAAGCTGTCTGGGAAATAGGGAGTGAGCAGATAGACATGCTGTAGGGAGCAGAAAGGAGTTCACCCCCTCCGGGTATCCTGCAGGAGGCAATCCCACTTATCCTCCTGCTACCTTGGTGCTTTCCTTACCCAAATCCCATCCCTTCGGCTTCTCAAAACTTTTCAGAAGCAAAACTAAACATGACTATACAAGATACTTCCTGAGTCTACTCACTAATTGAAAAATCACTTATTTACGTGGATTTGGAAACCTGGAGTATGTAAGTATGTATGGAAATCAGATAGCTATTGGTTAAATATTCTTATCTCTTACATTTAGGCACACCCCTTTGTAGCTTCAATGTATTTTTTTAAATAAAATTAAAAAAGAAAAAATCCAGATAACTCCATGTGAAGGTAGAAGGTACATCTCAGCAACTTGAGGGTAAAAAAAAAAAAAAAAAGTTCCTACAAAATGTTTGTTTTTAAAAGAAATGAGAGAGCCAGGAAATTCATCATTACAGTGAAGTTGGAAAAGAAACCAAAATGTTTGGTATGGAAATACAGTTAGGGCACCTGAATAACCTTTATTCGGACCCTGTGTTGATTCTTTGAGGGCGGTAACTCTGACAACCTTATCCCAATGAACAGTCTAATCTTACCAGTCATCAAACATCTTAGAATGCTTTCCTCTTAACTGTACAGTTGTCATGCAAATTCTAGCCGCCTTTACAGCCACAGGAAAAGACTTGCTTTACAAATTCCTGATGAGCCAGTTCACAGTTCAAGGGGCCATTATCTTCTGGGTTACATTAAGATGCCATGTGCTACCAATTACGCAAGGCAAGAATCGGAGCCTGTATTTCTACACCTACAAACCTCCCGAGCCTCAATCCAGAGCACCGCACTATGGCTATTGTTTGTACAAGCTCAGTAGGGTGACCAGACAGCAAGTGTGAAAAATCAGGACAGGGGATGGGGGGTAATAGGAACCTATATAAGAAAAAGACCCAAAAATCGTGACTGTCCCTATAAAATCGGGACATCTGATCACCCTAAAGCTCAGTCCCTTCTGTAGCCTGGGACTGTCAACTTGTGGCAAAAGAATCTGGTTGCCTTATGTAAAGAAAATATCAGAATACTTTTCTCACACACTTGACTAAGCACTGTGCTTGTCTCATTAATCTTTCTGCCTCCCTTTGCTCTCCTCCTCTGCCCCACTTGCCTCACTGCCCTTCTCCACATCATTTCCTCTTTCTTCCTGCCT